TGAACCCATCACACCATGAAAGTTTTAGATATAAGATACTTTGCGGCAGTGTCACTGTTCCTGAAATCCTTGGCTTAACATTCTTCCCTGCGTAGAGAAAAATCAAATGACTACATATTCAGAGAGATACACATTTTCCTCAAACATCGCTGCTTGCCCTTTAATGAACAATTTCAATTAATGGATGCGTAGCCTGGACTTATCCTCTGTATTAAAAGCTTTGCTATTTGGTTCTGCCGGAGTACAAACCTTGCTGCTGAAGAAATGATCTTGTGAAATCGCTCCAAGCTCTTTGTTCCTATTTTTACCACCAAATTTGCCTGCAGCTGCCAGTTTGAATTACTTCCATTTACTCTATGCTGAGAACATGCACATTCTTTTAATGGAGGAAAGTAAAAAACTAAAGGGTGGAGAGTTTCATTTACTAAAGTGCTCTGTAGATTTCTTTTATTTTTTTTTATTATTATTATTAAATGCAGAAAGTTTATGTCCAGGTTTTTTTGCTTGACAGTTTCCTTCCTAGAACCTCCCACCCCACCCCCACTTTTTAGGAGGGGAAAAATCTAGCTGACTGTCACCCAATTACTAAAATCTAAGTCAGCAAAATGAATTGTGACATACATACATGTAAGGTCTAGCAGTGCTTTTTCTTGAATATTGTGCACTATTCCTTTGCAGGGTTGAAGAGTTCATCTTAAGATTACTTTTATTCCCCCTCCCTCCCCTGGGTGGATAAAGATTGCAATTGCATAGACAAAGTAAACTTTTCACTACTGTCCATGGTGCAGCGGGAAAACAGTGGTGCAAAACATTGGGTATTCTGCAGAAAATATAAAGCTTGAATATTTCATTGCTGTTATCTTCGTTTTTGAAACAAGCAAATATATAATTGTTCTGATCCAGTAGGTGATCCTACTTGGTTAATGAACTGTGCATCCAAACTTATTCTGTGCATGGATTTCTCTGGCTTAATCCTAACTAGGATTTAGGGTATCATGTGTTTACTCCAGGTTAAATATTTGCCCACCATCTTGTTCAAAAAGGGGCAGCTGCCTGCTCAATCCAGCCAGTCCTTTGCTGCACAGATGACTGGTGACGTTGCCTGGAGCAGATTTCAACATAACTTGGGAAATGAGTAATAGCTGAATAGTCACATAAGGCAAGCTGGCGTAAATTATGGCCTACCAAGCCAAGCACAGGTCACATGAATTCATATCCAGAGTTGACATAAACAAATTTGGGCTGAATAGAGACTGGTAGTAGCTAGCTCACTGCAAAAAAATCTCACTGCAAAAACTCATTGTATGTCTTAGTTATGTGTGGTGTCCAAAATGTATCATGCTTTGCCAATTCATTAGCTGTTGGGAGTGCAGGTCATACCCACACTGATGGGATGTTTTACTATTTTGACAGGTTATCATCATCATAGAATTAAATAATTGTAGAGTTGGGACTTGAAGGGTCATCGTTCAGCTCGTACATTGAGGTCCAGTTCCAAGGGTCTTCTGGCGGTTCCCTCTTGAACTATATACCCAGTACATGGAACCTTACGAAAGGACAATACGAGTGGACACTCTGTGCCCTCACCACAGCAAAAAGACTGATACTGATGAATTGGAAAAATAAAAACGCGGCTCCCTTCTATGATTGGATGGAAGACATATACAAACTCACAACATATGAACAACTTGCATATAAACGCAGACTTGCCATGAACAAATTCAATGATATTTGGAATCCATTATTACAAATACTGTAATAGGTTAAGATCTGGTGAAGTACAATAACAACTTTGTAAAATATACAGTTTTGGGTTTCCCCCCTCCCCCCTTTGTTTTCCCTTGTACATGGGTTCTCTTTTTCTTTTTCTCTCTTTTATTTACGTCTCACCATGTTTGGTGCACATATAATCCTGTACTTTTGGAATTTTCAGTAAAGATGTATATTTGTTGTTGTTGTTTAGTCGTTTAGTCGTGTCCGACTCTTCGTGACCCCATGGACCAGAGCACGCCAGGCACTTCTGTCTTCCACTGTCTCCCGCAGTTTGGTCAGACTCATGTTTGTATATGTATATATATATGTGTGTGTGTGTGTGTATAGTGTGTGTGTGTGTGTGTGTGTGTGTGTGTGTGTGTATACATATATACTTTTTCTAAAGGCTTCAGAAGCACTCTCCCAATCTCTACCTTTATCGCTATCTCCACTTTTGATTTCCAACGCCAGTTCAGAGATATTGTTGCCTAAAGCAGCACTTCTTTATAATTGTGCAATACCTACAGCATGTTTGTTCTGTTATAGATGAACAGGGAAGGGAAAACTCAACAGTGCATATGATAAATGGCATCCTTTTCTTCTTAGATCTATCAAAGACTTCCCCTTTTCCTCCTCATCAGTCTTGTGGTGGAGACAGTGATAAGGCTAAGATGAGGTTAGTTTTGAGATGGATTGAATGTGTCAGTGTATTGTAAACTTTGGCGAGGCTCCAAGCAGCCTGAAAATTGGTGAGCGGAACTGAGGAAACACTCTGTGCAGCCATAAACTAAAGATGTGTCGGCGAGATGATGTGGCAGGCAGAAAATTTGTGAGCTCTCTCTCTCTCAAAAAAAGAGGACATACTTTTCATATATAACGTTGCAAGCACCCACTTCGATATTGGGTCAATCCAGCAGGAGTGCTGCTAGGAACTCCATAAAAGAGTAACCAGATGGGACATCTTTCTGCACTAATAATAATAATAATAATAATAATAATAATGTAAAGGACCCCTGACAGTCACGAACGACTCTGGGGTTGTGATGCTCATCGCGCTTTACTGGCCGAGGGAGCTGATGCTTGTCCTCAGACAGTTTTTCTGGGTCATGTGGCTAGCATGATTAAGCTGCTTCTGGCGCAACGGAACACTGTGACGGAAACCAGAGCGCATGGAAACACTTGTTTACCTTTCCACCACAGCAGTACCTATTTATCTACTTGCACTGGTGTGCTTTCGAACTGCTAGGTTGGCAGGAGATAGGACCGAACAATGGGAGCTCACCCCGTCACAGGGATTCAAACCGCTGACCTTCCAATTGGCAAGCCCAAGTCTCAGTGGTTTACACCACAGCACCACCCGCATCCCTAATAATAATAATAATAATAATAATAATAATAATACCAACAATAGCAGCAAGAGGTGGGATGAGAGCTGAATTGGATCAGGACCACCATGCTGGCTTGTAACACCTCCACACCCCATTTCCTCAGTTAACAGTGCCTTCCTGCCAACTTTCTTAAACAATTGTTTTCTGTTGTGAGCTTAATCACTTGGCTGAGCTTCCGTGGCTCCTACACACAACATCCCAACAACACATTTGCTATAGGGCAGGCAAATACATTAAAAATATATTATTGGGAAACATATGTGCTTACTTTTCCCACTGAAATGAAAGGGACTGAAAAATATTTTGTCTTCCTAGTTTCTAATTCTTCTGGTCATTTTTGCCAATTCAGCATAATCCAGGAAGACCAAAATTTTAATAAGGAATGGGGGAAATATATAACTTACCTTGAATATCATCGTAAACAATTAATAGGATTAGCAGGATTGGAATGGTACTTGTAGCTTAACATTGGACTATGGTAATAATGGAGATTTAATAGAATTGGATTAATAGAGAAGACGCAGGAGGGGAAAAAATTAACACAAGGACCCACAAATAGGAAGAGGGAAGTCTAGGGGTATTTATGGAATTCTCTTTCTATTTTGGTTGTTGGATAATTGTTCGTAAATTTGAAAATTAAATAAATTTGAAAAAAGAAAAATATTTAACTCTGAGCAGAAAGTACTCCTTCTATTTGCCACCAATAAGCAGGGTGCACAAGGTCCTAGGAAGAGAAGCATAGCTTTTGTGCTTTCTTCCACATATCTTGGATAAGGAAAATAAGTTATGCAAAACCAAGCCAAAATATACAAATTTATGCAATCTGTAGCTACCTTCCTTACCCTGGTGCCCATTCAGATGTTGTTGAACTACTGCTCCCATCAGCTGCCTCCCAACTCAGGCTGGTCAGTTGTTTGGAATGATGGGAGTTGTAGTCTGTCAACATCTGGAGGGCATCAATTTAGGGAGGGTTGACCTTGCAGAATCCAGCTGTTCTTTGTGCAGAAATTGAGTTGCCTTGATGCAGAATTCTGCTATATAGATATATTAAGTGCAGAGCTACTCTTGGCCTTGTTTATATTCATTTCACGTTACACTCAGTCGTATTCATTCCAGCTGGAAAGCCTTGAGCAGTCATTAGCAATCATGCTTGTCCATATACAAGTTCTCCTTTGATGTTTCCAGGACTTCGCAATGATAAGACCACCCATATCACATTAACTTGGGTGATCTCAACAGAGGGAAGGAGCAACTTTTCTTCATCAAAAAGCAAGAGAGGGCACAATTTTCTTTCCTGGAATTGCCGGCATCACCTGTCATCATGTCGCTTCAACTTTTGCTGTCACATGAAATGATATATGACGGCAAAATGAAATCCTGTGTCTGTTTTGCCATCGAAAGCAAAATGGTTTTTTCAAGGTAGGTATCTGCCTTTAATTTGGAATGCATAAACTTGATCCAATCTGACTGCATAAGCAGGGGCAGTCCCACTTCTTATCTTTCTGAATCAGCATGTATTCTGACTTACAAACATTTTTTCAGTTATTTCTGGTAAACTTTGTCCAAATCTATTTCAATCAAGTTTTCCTTCTAAACGCTGGATTTCTACACTGTACACAGTATCTGGCATGCGCGCACACACACACACACACACACACACACACACACAGAGTTTTCCATATACAGTCATACCTTGGGTTGAATGTGCTTCAGGAAGTAACGGAGCGTGCTACTTCCGGGTTTCACGTGGAAGTGGCAAATCGCGACCCGCCCATGCACAGACACATTGTTGCGTCTTATGTTCTATTCAGGATGTGAACGGGGCTCCGGAACGGATCCCGTTCGCATCCCGAGGTACCACTGTGTGTGTGTGTGTGTGTGTGTGTATGTGTGTATATATATATATATATACATGCACGCACACGCGCGCACACACACACACACACACAAGTCATTCCTCGGGTTACAACGACTTCAGTTTGCATTTTTTCGGGGTATGGACCGCTGAAACCCGGAAGTACCAGAACAGGTTACTTCCGGGTTTTGGCGGCTGCGCATGCACAGAATCGCTTTGCGCATGCGCAGAAGTGCCAAATCACAACCTGCATGTGCACAGACGCACCACTGCGGGTTGTGAACACTGCGGGTTGTGAATGTACATCCTGCATGGATCACGTTCGGAACCCAAGTGTCATATATATATATATATATATATATATATGCGCAACATTACATTTAAAAATCTATCATAAGGAGGAAACAGGAGCAGAACTGATTACCAAAGCAATGAGCTGGCTAGTTTTAAAAGAAACATATTGGAACACATACATGCCACGCCCTAGCCTAGAGTATTGTTATTTTATTCTATGATTGCTTATGGGTTCCAAGATATTGAGTTCCTATTGCACTTAAATGATGTTCTGTTGGTTTTAGGCTGAAACCCTATATTCACTAACCTGAGAACAAGTCCCATTGAACTGTATACGGCTTACGTCTGACTGGACTTGTGTTGCATTGCATTATAAGAGAGGTTGATGAACAGCTCCTACCTAGAGATAAATAATGAGTTCCTGCATTTATGTTGTCAGAATTTTTTAAATATTAAGAATAGAGGGCATACCATTCATCAAACTGAAAAATGACATGTGACCAGCCCCTTTTCACTAGAACTCCCTTTTAGCATCACTTTAGGATCTGTCCCAAAAGGGCTATTTTGAGGTGAAGCCCGTAAACATTGTTTTTGAGATGTGTCGCCAGGATGCGCTACATACAGAGTAGACTCATTTATTTCAATAGATTTTGTCAGGCTTCAGGAAAGCGGTTTCCTCCCTCTCTTCGGCCATGGATAAGAAGAACAAAGCAAAAATAGCCTTTTACCATTTAAAGAGGTTTTCATGAACACAAGCAAGAGTTCCTTCTCAGAGTAAAGGTGCTCCCAATTAAGCTTTCCACCCACTTCCCCCGTCACCCTAGTTACTTCCTCATCTTGCAACCTGATCTCACAACCACTTTGCTTTCTGTGCAGCCACCTTATCTGCTCTTCGTAACCTTAGGCTGGGTGGATGTAGGCTTTTGAGTGAGAGAGAGAGTCCGTTAAGTCTCTCTTTTCCCCCAGTTCTTCTCCACCCAGTTCTTCCCAACTTCTGCCTTCTGAACTATGTCCCTCTGCAAAACACTGTTCCAAATCTATACAGTGGTACCTCGGGTTAATAACTTAATTCGTTCCGGAGGTCCATTTTTAACCTGAAATTGTTCTTAACCTGAAGCACCACTTTAGCTAATGGAGCCTCCTGCTGCCACCACACCACCGGAGCACAATTTCTGTTCTCATCCTGAAGCAAAGTTCTTAACCCGAGGTACTATTTCTGGGTTAGCAGAGTCTGTAGCCTGAAGCGTCTGTAACCTGAAGCGCCTGTAACCCAAGGTACCACTGTACTGTCCCACTGCTCCTGGGAAGATTCAGGATCCTGATCAGGAGCAGAAAGAGGGGGAGGCCGCCGCCATTCTTCATCTGTGCAGCCCTTCTCAGCACATTCCCTGACAGGTTTCCTCCAATATTTAGTTCGCTATAACTCTACTGTAGATTAGTACTTCCTTTACCAGCCATCCAAAGTCACTAGTCATTGCAGCCAGGTTGGCTAAGGGTGTCACAAAGAATCCAGAGCAAAATGTTCAATTTTTTTGAGGCTTTTATATTCCCCTCCCCCATTTAAGAGCATGGATAGGGTTTCCATTGTCTTAACTGTACAGCCTGAGATAGTTTGCCCATCTTCGGCCCAATCCTTTTGTATTTTCCTTTGGCAGTACCTCATCTTGGGTTCAACCATTTACTTGTAAGTAAATGTGTGCTTAGGATTGTGTGGGTTTATTCATTAATAAGTCTTATTTAGTGTATAGGCTTATTGCGGCTTTTCTTTGAATAATTTTTATTAGAAATTTCAACATAACAGTTTATCAAAAACATATCATCCTCATTCCCCCCTCCCCAAGAACAACCCACCATCCCACCCCCACCCAGACTTCCCTCAGCTCCTCTCTCTGGTTTTTCAGCACATGTTATTCTCTCCATATTATAAAATTGTAATGATCCTTAAATTATCTGTCTATGTGTTGCCAGTAATAAATTTGTGTTTGTTTATTCACAGCCTGCCAAGGAGTCCAGTTCATTTTGTTGTTTCTTTAAATACTTTGTAAAAGGTTCCCATTCTTCTTTGAAGTCACAGTTGTCCTTTTCATGCAGTTTGTGCGTCAATTTCGCCAGTTCCGCATAGTCCATCAATTTCCCTTGCCACAGTTCTTTGGCTTATTGCGACTTTTCAACCAGATCCTTTGTTTGTTTGGGAGGAAGCGCCAACCTAATCCTATTTATCTGGATGCAAGCTTCTTTGAATTCAGTAGGACTTACATCTGAGTAGATCTAGTTAGAATTGCATTGTAGTACTTGCTTACACAGTGTTTAGTCAGCCTACCTGCTCTCAGATCACTTTACCTGTCCCCTGTCAGCTCACATTTTTTGTTTCGATGAAAGTGCCATTCGTTTAAATGGAACTCATTCAAAATTAAGTGGGTTTGTTTTTGTTTAGTCGTTTAGTCGTGTCTGACTCTTCGTGACCCCATGGACCAGAGCACGCCAGGTACTCCTGTCTTCCACTGCCTCCCGCAATTTGGTCAAACTTATGCTGGTAGCTTCAAGAACACTGTCCAACCATCTCGTCTTCTGTCGTCCCCTTCTTGTGCCCTCAATCTTTCCCAACATCAGGGTCTTTTCCAGGGAGTCTTCTCTTCTCATGAGGTAGCCAAAGTATTGGAGCCTCAACTTCACGATCTGTCCTTCCAGTGAGCACTCAGGGCTGATTTCCTTCTGAATGGATAGGTTTGATCTTCTTGCAGTCCATGGGACTCAAGAGTCTCCTCCAGCACCATAATTCAAAAGCATCAATTCTTCGGCGATCAGCCTTCTTTATGGTCCAGCTCTTACTTCCATACATCACTACTGGGAAAACCATAGCTTTAACTATGCGAACCCTTGTTGGCAAGGTGGTGTCTCTGCTTTTTAAGATGCTGTCTAGGTTTGTCATTGCTTTTCTCCCAAGTGGGTTTAGGCAACAGTCAACAAATGCTGCCTATGTTAAAGTCTGACAGAACTGCAGCTTTTTCAGTAGGTGAAGGGAAGTAGAAGAATGTGAAGGAGAAAGAAGATGAAGCAAAAAGTATTTGAAAACCTAAAGAAGCAGAAAGGAAAATGGAAGAGGCCAAGAATGGGGAAGGAGTCTAGTTTGAAGAGGAAAGAGAAGAGATGAGGCAACTGAAGATTGCCCTGCTTTTTGCAATTCCCCCCTCCCAAGATTGCACTTTCTCTCCATACCCCTTTCTGGATATCATAATGTCATCTGATTTATTTCACACTGGTCAATATGAGAACTTGTGTAACAATTAATATATGCATGTGGGATCTGTTACATATAGCGAATCAGGGAAGAAAAGAGTGGGCATCTGTTGATACATGCCGAGCAGCTAGCTCATGTATTTAACTTCTTCTGACGCCCTAGACAGCATGATGTTTGAACAATTTCCTGAGGACTCGCTGTAATATTCATCAGCCACTATGACACATTTTCTCTTGGAGCAATGTCAGAGAAGGATGTCTTGAAAGGAAACCCAACTGCAGTGATTAAAAGAAGCATTCACACTCACATAAAAGCGGGTATCTGGAGATTCAGCACAGCACTGGAATGCACAATTGGTTTATTTTTTTTAAAGAAATGTTTTTCAAAAGGCAAGGAATTTTACCTTCAATCTATAATTTAACATACAGGGGTTTTTGGGGGGTTTTCTAAAAAGCATATCTGTGACAGTTCTGGATTATCCTTTCTTAGAGGTATAGAAAATAATTATGAATGTGTTGCTATTCCACATGCTTTTAAAAATTCAAGGGTGGTTAAAGAAGAACAAGCCGTGCATCTGAAGGTACCCAGATAGGAAAGTTCCAGGTTGAAGGTGGCAGCAGAGCAGAAGTAGTTGTGAAAATGAATGAAGACTGGATGTCTGTGGCCATAGATCTGACTAGTTATTCTCCAACAGTTTCTCAGGGGTAGAGCTCACCATTAACTGCTGCAGTATCACAGCTCCCTTCCTTCCTTCCTTCCTTCCTTCCTTGGCTTGTCTTTTTTTTTTTTTTTTGCTATGTTGGTATCCCAGCCACCATTTTGCATGCTACAGACCAAAGGTCATTCCAGGGCATTATGGGGAAATGGGGGGAGTTGGCATCTACTGCACACATGCAAATACAGTGGCACCTCGGGTTACATACGCTTCAGGTTACATACGCTTCAGGTTACAGACTCCGCTAACCCAGAAATAGTGCTTCAGGTTAAGAACTTTGCTTCAGGATGAGAACAGAAATAGTACTCTGGCGGCGCGGCAGCAGCAGGAGGCCCCATTAGCTAAAGTGATGCTTCAGGTTAAGAACAGTTTCAGGTTAAGTATGGACCTCCGAAACAAATTAAGTACTTAACCTGAGGTACCACTGTAATAGTGGAAAATACTCTGAGAAACTTTGGAGAAGTGGTCTTTTTCTAGTCTGGTGAGAAAAAGAAAGATCTCAGAAATCTGAGTAGGGCGAAAACAAAACCTCAGTGTCTTCCGAGAAATTTCAGTTCAGCACTAGAAAAACAAAACAAAAAACTACTCGACTTGGAGATGAATAAATGTAAGTTGCAAAAGAAACAGCACTGGAAAAAAACAACAAAGCAAAACAAAATCTAAAAGCGCCTCTTTGTTTTACTTCCTTGAAACTTATCCTTGCCACATATTTCTGATGCATTTCTGTTGTCTGGCCTCAGCTAAGGTCAGATGCTTAAACTTTGCTTGTTATCAGGTGATCTTGTGAAATGTCCAAAGCTGCTAAATTTGTCTACATAAACACTGGCATGGAAAGCATTTACAGTGTCGCTTGCAAAACTGTACTGTGCTTGCAAAACACACATTTTGCGGACTGATTGCCAAGTGCATTTTCTGTCACAAAGCCAGCATCTTTCCACAAAAATTTTTCTCCTGGGAAATGTTATAAATAAATAATTGCTTATCTTTTGTGAAGCAGATATGTTTGTTCGGCAATTTGAGGATACAGTATTGACTTGTGGTCAATATGGCGATGGTGAACAAAATTGAATGCCAGAAGTGAAAAGGTCTTGAAACCCAAGTCTAGTTCCTTCTCCTCTAGTATGAGAAGGTTTAGCTGATGGATGGATTTCCTTTATATAGCACCTTTTGTGCCAATGAGCTCAAGCTGATATACATGGTTCTCTTTCTCCTCATTTAATCCGCACAAGAATAATAATAAAAAAAGGGTAAAAGTTAAAGGACCCCTGGATGCTTAAGTCCAGTCAAATGTGACAATGAGATTGCAGCTTTCATCTCACTTTCAGGCTGAGGTAGCTGGCATTTGTCCACAGACAGCTTTCCAGGTCATGTGGCTAGCATGACTAAACCACTTCTGGAGCAACAGGACACCGTGATGGAAACCAGAGTGCATGGAAACACCGTTTACCTTCCCACCACAGTGGTACCTATTTATCTATTTGCACTTTGATGTGCTTTTGAACTGCTAGGTTGGTAGGAGCTGGGACCAAACCACAGGAGCTCACCCTGTCGCGGGGATTCAAACCACTGGCCTTCTGACTGGCAAGCCCAAGAGGCTCAGGGGTTTAGACCACAGCGCCACCCGCATCCCCCAACAGTAACAACCATAGGAGGTAGGTTAGGCTGGGAGGCAGTGACTGGCCCAAGCTGAGCCTCATGGCTGAGTGGGGATTTGAATCCTGGCCTCCCAAGTCTTAATCTGACATTCTAACCACTACACCTCACTGGGTGTCAGGTTGAGGCCGTAGTGTGTGGGTAGCCTTGGAGCCCAATACAGCAATATCTGGTGCCAATTGGGAAATTATTATAAGAAAGAAAAAGCAGACAGCAGAATATTACCATGAAATATGTATTGTACAGCCCTAAGACCCTGCAATTTCTTCTGAGCTGTCAAGGTGGGGGGGATTAGGCATTAGGAATGCTTTCAAGAGACACTGAGTCTGTTAGCTGTCTTTACCCTAATGCTTCTTCTTCTTGCAGCTCCCCCAATATTTCCCAGCTTCTCCTCTCTGCAGCCTCTGAACTGTGACCTTCTGCAAACCACTGTTCTATATCTATACTATCCTCTTCTTCTCGGGAAGCTGAAGAGAGGGGGTGGCGGTTCCCACCATTCCTCCATAGTCTAGCCCCTGACAACAGGGGAGGCTTGGGGTCTGCTTAGTACAAAGCTCCTTCCTCTAGATGTGCATTGAGATTTTTTTGAGGGAATATATCAGCCTTAGATCTTTTACGCTCACCCCCTCACCCTGGTTGGGATCAATGCGAGGGGGTGAAGGTCAAAAGTGAACAGGGGGTGCTAAAACCTGCCCCCTACCTTTTGCCCTACTGGTGCAAGCTTAGCAGGACTTAGATCCTCCACGAATTCTTCCTCTACCTGAGTCACGCACATAAAATGTCATAACTGAACTTTTGCTGAATTCATGACGGAAATTCAACTAAACTTAAACAATAATCAGAGGATCTAGTGTAAAAGCATATGTATATAAATATGGAATAATAACAACCCCTTTCCAATCCTGCTTTTCTCCAATTCCATTCTTTTTTTATGGGAAGAAGCAGAAATCATGAATTGGTCAGCACTGTATGTTTGCAAATATACTGTACCCCAGCTAGTTTTACTTCTGCATTTGAGTTCTGTTTATAGGTTTTTATTTCTGCTGCATGGAAAAAACTTGCATTCGAAAGCTCTGGCAGCATGTTTTTGCTTGGTCATCTGTACAGTTCCTCTTGGTATATGACTAGTGGTGTGGTTGGGGGGGAGTGTTAGGGAGTTGGTGGTTTTTTTTCAGAGTGAAAAGTTCATTCTATTTTTGACACAGTGGAAAGCCGTCTCTTCCTTCTGTAATTTTGAACCTGGAGCATTGCTTTTAATTCTAGAGACAAAGCAGCAAGTAGTGATTATACTCTTGCATTATAACATGTGCTGCGGCCAAATGGGGAAAAGTTGCCTCCAAATATGGAAATTAGTATCATAAAGTTTTTTTGCCAACGGAATGTGTGGGGTTGGCATAATACGACTGTCAGCGGGAACCAGCCCGTTTCCCTCTAATGTGCTCTTCAGATCTGAAATTATAATGCTCTCTTGGAAAAGAAACCACTTTGCTCACTGGTAAATCTTTAGATAAGCGAATAAAGGAATATTCACGTGAACACTACGGTACAGGGGACTTACCTTGGCTTGAACAAAGACCAAACCTGTATTGGTTTTACAGATTCTCAGCAGTTTGTAGCTCCCCTTAAAGATTCCTGGAAGTATTAGTTTGGGGAGCAGAAGTGGCTTGCTGTGTGGGATGGAGGTGGATTCATAGAATCATAGAATTGTAGAGTTGGAAGGGATCACTGGGGTCATCTAGTCCAACCCCCCTGCAATTCAGGAATCTCAGCTAAAGCATCCGTTGGGCCTTCCGGAGGCCGTAACAGGCCTCCAGAAAGTAAGGAGGTATGCAGTGGGGTTGGTAGTGGAGGTGCAAGGAGCCACTCCAGGGCCCCTAGGGTAGGCTGCCCCTCTCCTCAGCTGGGCTCAGCAGGCTCCCTCAGGGGCGTGCTTGGCGAAAGCATATGCTCCTCTGCTCGGTGTGTTGAGGCACACATGCCTGCGTGGCTCAGGCGCAAAGATCTGTTGGTTCTCTGCCCCTTCATGGGGAATGTTGTGGGGGCTGGAGCACCCGCAGCCCTGCACACTCAGTGCTTATGACAGATATGCTTACATCTCCCTGTCTCTCTCATAGGCCCAATCCATCAGGCCCAATACTTATGTTCTCACAGGTTCTAATGTTTTGTATGACTACCACTACTAATTTCTTATTTAGATGCCACCCATCTGACTGGGTTACCCCAGCCACTCTGGGTGGCTTCCAACAAATAAAAACACAATATGACATCACTCATTAAAAACTTCCCTATGCAGAGGTACCTCTGTATGCTTCAGGTTACAGACTCCGCTAACCCAGAAGTAGTACCTTGGGTTAAGAACTTTGTTTCAGGATGAGAACAGAAATTGCGTGGTGGCAGAGGGAAGCCCCATTAGCTAAAGTGGTGCCTCAGGTTAAGAACAGTTTCAGGTTAAGAATGGACCTCCAGAATGAATTAAGTTCTTAACCCGAGGTACCACTGTACAGGACTCCCTTCAGATATCTTCTAAAAGTCAGGTAGTTGCTTATTTCCTTGGCATCTGATGGGAGGATGCAACTACTGAGAAGGCCCTCTGCCTATTTCCCTGTAAGCTCACTTCTTGCAGTGAGGGAACCACCAGAAGGCCCTCGGAGCTGGACCTCAGTTTCTGGGCTGGCTCCAAGTGGGGAAAGCATGCTGACTCAACTAGGTCAGCCTCTACATTCATGACAGCATCCTTCAACTCCTAAGTAAATAATTTTATGTCCCCTTTGAACATTTATGTCCAAGATGGACATTTGTTTCCAAGGTGGCATCATCACGCAGAGTCAAATTTATCCAGAGGAATTGTCTATTGCTCTGTAATCAAATTGCCTTCTCAGGTGTTACTTGTGTCAACCTGACCTAAGTTAAGGAGTAATGAATTACGATGGAAAGGAATTTTGCAGGCAAAATTAACAAGTAGTTTTTTTTAAAAAATGTTTTTTATTAAACTGAACTTGAGACCTCAATAATACATCAGCTTTAGTACATTTTTTTGTTGTAGTGCTATTTTACAAATGATGTAATTTCTTCAGTTGCTTTACACAATGAATGGTTGATTTTAAATTTAGCTTTTTTGATGCAGGTCCATAAAAGTTGAAGGCAGAAAACAGGTTACCTTGGAATTGTACTCTCCTTTTCAGGGCAGATAACCATTCCCCCTGTAAACATTAATTATCATGTTAGCGGCTACAGCTGCCAGGCACTGAGACAAAACATGCAGTTGTCCTTAGCAGCTTATTTTAAAGCAAACTAGGTAAGCAGGACATGGGGCGGGGGGAAGATTCAGGAGAAAGGTATTCTTTTTAATGCCTGTGTGTGAGAGATTACCCTAGAGCTGGCTGGGTAACTGTGTTCTCCTCCTGAAGTAAATTCACAAAGGTCCAAGGCCGATTTTGCAACCTGAACTGTAATGTAACTGCATTTTAGAAGTCTCAGTAAAATGAAGAACAGCATTATTATTAATATTTCTAATTAAATTAGTATACTAATTAAATTTCTATACTGCTATTCACCCAAAGATCAAATATAAAAACACAAAAATACATACCATAATAACAAAAAAAAACCAATACCCACCCTGGGGAGAGCATTCTAGAAGCAGGGAGCCACTGCAGAGAAGCCTGTTCTTGTGTTGCTGCACTCTGGGCTTCTTGTGAAGCAGGCACACAAAGAAGGACCCCAGATGATCATCACGGGGTCTGGGTTGGTTCATGTGGAGAAAGGCAGTCCTTGTATTGTGATTCTGAGCCATTTAAGGCTTTATAGGCCAAAACCAGCAGTTTGAACTCAGCTTGGAAACTAATTGGTAGCCAGTGCAGTTGGGCCAGGATTGGTGCTATATGCTCAAGCCATCTTGCCCCAGTGAGCTACCTGGCAACTAGATTCTGTACCAGCTGAAGTTTCCGAACCATCTACAGAGGCAGCCCCACATTTAATATGTTTCAGTAATCTAATCTAGAAATTACAAGAGGATCCAGTTATGGGTGTGGCTGGGCCACCAGCCAAAGCTGATGGAAGGTACTCTATGCCACTGAGGCCACCTGAGACTCAAGCAACAGTATAACGAAGCTGTGTCCCCGTTCCTTCAGAGGGAATATAACTCCAGCATGGAGCCAGCATGGTGTAGTGGTTAAGAGTGGTGGACTCATAATCTGGTGAACCAGGTTCGCTTCCCCGCTCCTCCACATGCAGCTGCTGGGTGACCTTGGGCTAGTCACACTTCTCTGAAGTCCCTCAGCCTCACTCACCTCACAGAGTGTTTGTTGTGGAGGAGGAAGGAAAAGGAGATTGTTAGCCACTTTGAGACTCCTTAAGGGGAATGAAAGGCGGGATATCAAGTCCAAACTCTTCTTCTTCTCCTCCATCAAGAGCAGGTCACCTCTCATGCATCCAGTCTAGGGGATCACCTACTAACAGTGCCTCAGTCTTATATGGATTCAGCTTCAGTTTATTGGTTCATCCAGTCCAGATACAAAGAAGTGTAGATGTTAACAGCATGAAGGATAAAATCGACCCCTGAGGAACCCTACATTCAAGGTTCCTTGGAGCCAAAAAGTACTCTCCAAGCATCACTCTCTGTAAATGGCCATCCAGCTAGGACTGGAATCGCCACTAAATGGTGCCACCCACTCCTAACTTGGGCAGCCATTCCAGCAGGGTACCATGGTTAATGGCATCAAAAGCCACCGGGAGTTTGAGGAGCATTAGCAAGGGCAGTTTCTGTGCAAAAAGCTGGGCCTAATTGAAAAAAAAAGAGGGCCCAGATTGAAATCGGTCTAGAAAACCAGTTTCCCCCTAGATCTGGGCCATGACCACCTGCTCAGGAACCTTGGGCATGAAAGAGAGATTGGCAACTGACCAATTATTCCTAAGGTTTTGTGAATGCGGGGAGAATTTCTAAAGGAGTGGTTTCACCACTATCTCCTTCAGTTAGGGACCCTCTTCCAGAATTTAGTGGAGAGCAGCAAGAGCTGAGGCAGTGAAAAGCTTGGGATTCTGTTGCCATAGCAACTCTATTTACAGTGAGGAAGAAAGAAGCTCTGATGCAGTCATGTAATCTCAAAGGTGAAACGAGGATATCCTCTGTGTCAGAACCACCCCCGCCCCCAGGCCAACATTTGCTGTGATGCACTCCTCTATAGTTTTACCACATCTTAATGGACCCCCTTTCTTCTGTTGGCAAATTATCCTGTGAGTGAGTTTCTGAATACTCATAGAGTGGCATCCCATGCTTTTCCTCTACTCATACAGGCAATACTAGGGATGTCGAATAATTCTGTGGGAGCGGAAGCAGGAGCAGAAATCATCGTAACGCACATGTTTGTCCCTTGTTGCTCTTGTTGGCTTCCGTCTGTCTCCAGAGACAATGGAGTGTGCCTTCGAAAGTGAAGTCAAACCATTGCATTAGCAGCACCAAAGTAACTTCCTCAGTGAGCAAGCCTGGGGAGTGTGTATCTTCTTCTTCTCTGGCGATCACTCATAGCCGAGTAAGAGTGTCTTCCATAAACACAGTTTTAACAGTGAGTCTGTAAGTCGCTGTGGAGGCCAATTCTGGATCCTCATGTCCTTCCACACAGGGACATAGGTTTTATGGTGAGGGTTTCCAATCGTGCCTTCCTTTTAGCACGTTTCTCCCTCTCTTCCTGAGTTTGAGCACCTTCAAAACCCATGACACCTTTGGTAAAGGCTGTTCTCCAACTGGAGCACTCACAGGCTAGTGCTTCACAGTTGTTGGTGTTTATACTACATTTTTTTAAAGATTTGCCTTGAGAGAGTCTTTAAATCTCTTTTGTTGAACACCAGCATTATGCTTTCCATTTTTAAGTTTGGAATAGAGTAGTTGCTTTGGAAGATGATAATCAGGCATCTGCACAACATGACCAGTCCAACGAAGTTGATGTTGAAGAAGCATTGCTTCGAAACCGGTGATCTCTGCTTCTATTACACTGGCATTAGTTCTCCTGTCTTCCCAAGTGATGTGTAAAATTTTTCGGAGACACCGTTGATGAAACGTTTCAAGGAGTGTATGGAGGTCCAAGGCTGCCCAGATGACAAGACCTCTTTCTTAGCTTTGCTGATGTGGTACGAAGGAAAGCACAGCACTATATTTGCCACCAGATTGGCTGCAGGAGTTGCCGGTAGGTGGCATGCAAGATGCCATCTAACCATCTTTGGGATTTGTGTAGGGCAGGTATGGCCAAACTCGGCCCTTCAGATGTTTTGGGACAACTCCCATCATCCCTAGCTAACAGGACCAGTGGTCAGGGATGATGGGAATTGTAGTCCCAAAACATCTGGAGGACCAGGTTTGGCCATGCCTGGTGTAGGGTATACTCCTAAGCCTTTTCTTCTCTGAAATATCTCCTGCAAGGCAGCGGAGGTTTAGGATCAGTTTCCTTCTTCTAGATGGTCTACCTTTCCAGGTTCATGAGCCCCATCTGCCCCTCATTTCTCTCTACAGCACATGCAGAAACTTCCTTCTTCAGTGCTGGATGCACTATTGATCCCATCTGTTCAATCTGCCAGAGCCTGTCTTCACATGCAGAGCAACTCCCTTCCTCACCAGGGCTAGCATAGTTTTTTTTGGGGGGGGGGTCTTTTGGAATCAGAATGATAGAATCAGCACCATAGAACCATAGTTCTACAAAAGCTAGAACTGCATGTTACATGTGACAAAGGGATGGCACTAATACTGCAACCATATATGGAGGACTTCCTCTTCCTGGTAACAGGTCGGACTCTTATCTCATGTTCTGTAAAATCATTTGTCTCTATTACTGCCCCGGTGCCACATTGTTTCCAGGGAACTGGCTAATGAGATGATGGGGAAGTGATCTTACCCATTGTCCTAATTTCCCCCTATTACCTTAGTGCAACATTAACAGTTCTCGTTGGGAGATGATATAGAAGTTATTTGGGTCTCAGTCATGACAGGATGCAGTTGAGACGAACATTTCTGACATTCAAATGAGTTTTATAGGTTGTACAGGAAATGTATATTTTAAAGTTACTGTTTCTGTTATACTTTGATAGTATACGGCTACCAGGAACTATGAAAATAGATTGCTCATCTGGCATTCTCAAAGGTCTTTTATTCTTTTTACAGGGAATGATTATCAAAAAGAAGTCTAGTAACCTCTGTAAGTAAGACAAATAGACTGAACCAAATGCTAATTAAGACCCATGACTTACAACACCTTCGCGTTTTACATTGGGCTGCCTCTGAAGATGGTTCAGAAGATTCAGCTGGTGCAGAATTTGATGGACAGGTTGCTCACTGAGACAAGATGGTTGGAATATACTATATTGATCCTGGCTTGACTGCACTGCCTGTCAATTAGTTTCTGGGCCCAATGCAAAGTGCTGATTTTGAGCTATAAAACGTTAAACTACTCAGGACCACAATATCTCAAGGACCCCCTTACCCATATGAACCGATCCGGACCCCGTGATCATCGTCTGAGACCCTTCTTCATGAGAGGCCTGAAGAGCAGCAACATAACAAGGAGCCTTTTCTGTGGTGGCTTCTCACTTGTAGAATGCTCTCCCCAGAAAGCCTCACCTGGCACCTTCATAACATACGGTCTCCCTTGGGAGGTGATGAACTTTCCTTCCTCAGAAGTTTTAAGCAGAAGTTGGATACCCATCTGTCATGGATGCTTTAGCTGAGATTCCTGCATTGCAGGGGAGTTGGACTCGATGACTCTTGGGTCCCTTCTAACTCTACTATTCTCTGATTCTATGATCTTTAGGCACCAGGCAAAAACATTTCTCTATAACCAGACCTTTGTCTGATGGATGGCCTTTAAAATGTGTTTGTGGAAGGGGGAATTTATTGGTTTGATTTGCTTAGTTGTGTATTTTGTGTTCTCATTTTGTATTTTATGTTGTGAACATGTTGTGGACTATCCAGTGATCTGTTATATTATACAAATATAACAATGTTGTTGTTTAGTCATTTAGTCGTGTCCGACTCTTCGTGACCCCATGGGCCAGAGCATGCCAGGCACTCCTGTCTTCCACTGCCTGCTGCAGTTTGGTCAAACTCATGCTGGTAGCTTCGAGAACACTGTCCAACCATCTCGTCCTCTGTCATCCCCTTGTCCTTGTGCCCTCAGTCTTTCCCAACAGTCTTTTCCAGCGAGTCTTCTCTTCTCATGAGGTATTGGAGCCTTAGCTTCAGGATCTGTCCTTCCAGTGAGCACTCAGGGCTGATTTCCTTAAGAATGGATAGGTTTGATCTTCTTGCAGTCCATGGGACTCTCAAGAGTCTCCTCCAGCACCATAATTCAAAAGCATCAATTCTTCGGCGATCAGCCTTCTTTATGGTCCAGCTCTCACTTCCATAAAATATAACAATAATTTTATTATTTATACCCCACGCATCTGGAGTGTAAATAACAACACCTTATTCGCTTTATACCTGAATGTGGTGTTCTTTCTGTTGCTATCTTCTACAATGAGATTCTCTTCCCCAGACAAATGGCTGTTCCTATTAAAACACACTGAGAAGTAAGTTTCATCTGTGGGCATGCAGAAAGCTGCGTGTTCAATCTCCAGCATTTGCAGGTAGGGTTGGGAAGTCTCCTGCCTGAAACCCTTGGAATCATAGAATTATAGAATTGGAAGGGACCACAAGGGTCAACTAGTCCAGCCCCCTGCAGGGCAAGAATCTTTTTGCTCAGTGTGGGGCTTGGACCCTAAGATTGAGTGTCTCATACTCTACCGATTGAGCTATTGATCTGGGGAGTCACTGCCCAGACAATACTGAACTAGATAGACCAAAGTTCTGTCCCAGTTTAAGACTGTATCCTATGTTCCTAACTCCCCACCTGGACACTATTATTGTGCAGCAAGAATAATGATAATGCTATGGATACAACAGAGAGTCTGGCTTTCTTTTTGCATTTTTATTTGATGTCTGGAACGTTCTCCTTTGTAACCGTTTCTGAAATTGTATCAACATGTTTCTTTGACATATGGCCAAATCTGTATGTTGGCAAGTGGCTGTATTTGCGAACCCAAATCGATGAAGAATAGCAAATGCAGACACATTGTATCAGTTAGGAATGTATAAATTAAGGCTGCAACTTCTGCATTGCAGGCCTATTCATGGCTTCCCAGAACTCATCTCCATTGAATTCAATGGGCCCCATTTTGAGGTGCATTGAGGATTTCAGCCTGTCAATGAATGAGTTACCTTAATCTGCTAAAAAAGAACTTTGATGGATTAGAAGGGTAGCCCTCATTAATTAAGTAACAGCTTCTTTTTAGTGTTACTTTAATTTCACAACTGCATAGCTCAGTTGGTTAGAGCATGTAACTATAGAAACATAAAAGGCATGTGTGTATACATTTACATACACTGAAAACATTCCTCTTATTTCTGAAACAAAAGAGATACCTCTTCTAAGATGTTATATCATATAATGGAGAGACTTCTGCGGTTATTAAAGGACAACAATAAAACACACACAAATAAAATCCAAAAAGCATGACTCTGAAGAACAGAATACGCCATTCATTCACAACTGAGTTTGGAACTGCGATGATCTTTAATTCTTTTTTTACCCCTTCCATTAAATTAAGCTATTGCTGATGAGATCATCCAGTCTAACAGTGCAGGAAATGGAAATCCTTTATTCACCCCTAGCAGAATCAGCATCTCTTTCGCTTTGTCTGAACAGTGCCTCGGACCTGACCTTGATAAATCAAAGTGAGCTGAAGCAATCCTTAAGGTTTTCATGTCCTTTCTGGATCATCTGGCAAGGGCGAGGATTTAATTAATTGATTAAATCTGCATAAATGTGCATAGAAGCAAAATACAACGATGCATTTCTGCAGCTAAAGTTAAGGCAGTATAGCCCTGTAACCTGCCTGGGTGGGAGATCACCTATGAACCAGATATAAGCTGCTTTGAACTCTTTGGAAGAAAGAATGGGTGTAAG